TTAAAAGTAAATATAAAAAAAAATCCTTAATATAAATTTTGTTTGTGGCACGTAGTATGTTGGATACAAATTAGATGTTTGTGATATTCAAATACAAATTCTGTAGTTTCTTACAAATTAGAAACTCAAATTACCGATATTGTCAAGCTAGAATATAAAATAAGAACCTTCTATCTTTTCTATTTTGAGAAATATTATATTTAGTGAATCAACAAGGTGGCCCTGCCCACCTCTTCCATTTTTGGAAATACTTGCATACATACACCTACTCTGCCCATTGACATGTGTATAACCAATCAAAAGCTCAGAATGTCCCCCATGTGGTTTTCTCAGCCTCTGTGAAGTATTTACACAGGAAAATATTCCTGGTAAAATCAAATGTAAGAGATAATGGAGCTCGAAATATAATATTTATTTAGTCCCAAATACAGCTTCGCTACTAAGCCTGATAAATTATAGTGGAATTTTGTGGTATTGATATAGTAAATTTTTTGTTATTTCAAAATGTATACATAAAACCTTAAAAAACATTAAATTTATCAGTCGTATGTGTTATTAACATTGCACTTGTGCAGTCAGTAATTTACTGTCCTTTGGTACACTTCTGTTGGAATAGATGGCCACTCCTCCCTGCAAAACATTCCTAGGTGTAATGACATTTTGGATTCTATATCTTTATATCACTTAATTTGCATTATAAATGCTGCTTGTCACAAACTAATGATATGGCTTGGTATATTACAATATAATACAGGCATGGTTCATTCACCAATACAGATATAAAAAAGCAATTGTATGATACACGGTTCAATAATACTTACAATAACTGAGCTTTCTTAACATATCTTCACAACAACTGGTAAGATTTTGTTAAATATTACAAGTATTTTGTACACAAAGAATGAAATTATTTTAATTAAGTATTTTAACTAAAGATTTGTTATCAATGTATTGTGTAATGAAATGTTTAAAATTAAAAATATAAAACACGTACATACCTTTTAATTTTTCCTTTAGCATTATTACTTATTGCGACACACACGTCAGTGGGCAAACTTGGGCAATATAAGGGTATCATAGGCAGAGACACTTTAAGATTCTATCTATACATGGAAGGTTAGTGTACATCAACAAGTATTCAAGTTACAAAGTCTAAAAGATTTGTACATCAACAAATATTCAAATTACAAAGTCTAAAAGTTAAGTTTTGTTTGTCCACAAGTATTCAAATTACAAAGTCTAAAATAAGTTTTGTACATCCACAATTATTCAAATTACAAAGTCTAAAAGTTAAGTTTTGTTACATCCACAAGTATTCAAATTACAAAGTCTAAAAGTTAAGTTTTGTACATCCACAAGTATTCAAATTACAAAGTCTAAAAGTTAAGTTTTGTACATCCACAAGTATTCAAATTACAA